CGCCCTGCTACGCACTGCTACGTACTGCTACAAAGGGCTACAAATTCAATACATACCCATATACTTCTATTTTCTTAAGCTTCACAAATTAACTTCCAGTTCAATCACGGAACAGGCGCTGTCTAATGGTACCAAACATATATCGCCACTATATTAGCATACCTTTATAATCGTGTGGCCCGATCGGAAGAATAATCGTACCGACCTCACTGAGCGCCCCATAGTAGTGAATGAGAAAAATCTTTGACCCGTTCTCAGAATCAAAACAAAAAGCTGGCGTACTCTGAACGCTGTAGTGTTAGAGTTGAGTTATAAAACGCGTGGAGAGGAGGGTGTCGCGTTGTTTGATAAGCCTTTGCACACACTATCCAACTTCTGTGTGTATTACAAACGTTTATTCTCAAAGTTTTGTTCGTGGCCCGTGTGTACCTGGGCGACGAGTTTTCGCATTAATAGTTTTTGCTTCCCAAATACATCTGTCTGTGACTGTATTTAGATATGATATTATTTTAACTTTAAAAAGTTGTTTCGAAAATGATTTCTCATATTTGAATAACAATAATAATGAATTATAAGAAAATGATCACCATCGCTCTCATCATCCTCTCTGCAACTGAAGGTCCGTAATCATTGTACTCTCTATTTGCTTGAAAAACAAAATACTTATGTTCCGTCTCAAGGTTTTGAAAAAAAAAATTGAGATATTTTTAGAGATATATCTCAATCAAACAGCACATCGCCTATTTTCCTAGCTCCGTGTTTCAAATTGAACATATGTGAGTGTGCATTGCGGCAGGTGTGAACAGAGAGGCCTAAACCAACACTGTGACCGGCGATAGTGACCCTTGCAGGCGTTTCATTTCAGACACTCTCTCTTTATTAACTAGTCTTCACTTCTTCGGGAGAAGCTGCTAAAGTTTATGGCGCTCTTTGTCAAACGAACATTTGAAACATTAGCATTTCCCTATAATCTCTTGAATGATTATCTTATACCTTTAAATGAGCAATTCTTGTATATTAATATATATATATATGTCGGCGCAAATATGACTATTTACCTACTGATCATCAACTAATTACTCTGTGATAAGAAATTGATGTTAAACAGTCCCTTTCATTGTAATTTCAATACTTTAAAATCTTGTAAACACGCTCACGTGTTTAATACTTGTAAACACGCTGACGTGTACGAAGTCCTATAAATACGGCCGTGCTGTCTAGCGTTGATTCAATTCCGTTTGCAACGCTGTCGAGTCCGGACGTGTTTTCTCGAATTATTGTCGCTGCCGTCGCGAACTTGTGTTTTGGTTTACACGACATTGTCGCTGTCGCGTCGATCGCGACTTTGTTGTGAATTCCTGACGCACGGGCGCTGGCGTAGCGACCTTGGGTCGAAAAAACATTTCGAATTCGTTTGTTCTGCATTCGAAAACGCCAATTCACATTCATTCATTCATTACCATTTATTAAATTTATTTATCTATCCGTCGTGCAAAACAGTCTTTTTAAAGACTGAACCCCCACTGCGATCACCGCTTGTTGTGGCACTCACAACCCAGTGGGGTCCCACCTTCCCAAACTCTCCACCCCAATCCCAGCTGACTGCCGTTTTCACGGCATAGGCATCCCCCCCCTGCAAATCACTGCTGGCAGGTACAGCGCAGGGGGTATAAATCCCACTCAGGGGACTCGCCTTTCGGCGAGTTTGCTTTAAGTCCCGGGGACGCCCCCCCCGGGCACACGTCACCATGAGTGACGCCAATGGCGCGCTCTTTTTGAAGTTCGTCCGTGATTTTTGTCCGGACATCATCACGAGATTCGAAGCCTACAAGGCCGGCCTTGACGCGCCGGCACTCCGCGACTCTCCGTTGTCGCCCCCCGCGCCGGTACCTCGCGACTCGCCGATGTCGCCCCCCACCCCCGCGCCCGCGTCGATCGCGTCCTCCGTAGCGGTAAGCTCCGGCTCCGACTCCGAGTCGGAAATGGAGTACGAGTCCGCCGCGAGTCCCCAACCGGGAACCTCGGAAGGGTTCACCACCGTCGCGCGCGGGAAAAAACGCGCCCGCGCCGTGGAACCGTCCGCGGCGCCGAAGCAGCCCAAGGCCGCGAACGCGTCGCGTCCTAAAGTCGTGGTCACACCCGACTCCCCTCGCCGCGCAACTCCGTCGCCGCGCCCCGGGCCCGCGCCCGTCCGAAAAGTCCCCGCGCCGCCGCCGGTCATCCTGCCGGGAAAAATTATCTTCTTGGGAATCCGCGCGTTTTGTCCCCTGGCCCTTAAAAGGCCAAACAAAAGATAAATGTTACGTCCAATGTTTTTGCGAGGAAATAATCCGCATTGGAATTTAACAAGATCAATAGTAGATGACATCCGACGACCACAGGTCTTGACAAGCAGTACCTCCGC